CTCCTGCATATCTGCTGGGCGATTGGTTCTTGTTTTGTTTGTTCCCATAGTTTCTTGTTGGTGATTCTTTCTGGCCATCTGATCTTTAGTATAGAGAGAAGACAGTTAGTTGTTGATAAAGGTCTGCAACAGGCTGTTGAAAATATTCTTTGTGACTCGCCAAGTTTCTGATCCGTATAGAAGAACTGACTGATTTGACGTTTGTATTGAAAATCCGAATTTTGTTGTTGATGCTGAGTGACGAAGATTTTCAGATTGGTTTCAGGTTGATGAATGTGTTTCTCGCCTTCCCGATTCTCGATTTGACATCCTCGTCCGTTCCATGTGCCTGTGGTTGAGACAATGCTCCCTAAATAAGTGAAAGAAGTAACCTCTTTCAAATCCCTCCCGTTAATGGTGATTGGTGCTGGATGTTGCCGCTGTTGTTGTTGTTGTTGTTGTTGGTTGGTTATTTTCATAACCTCCGTCTTGTCTATATTCACCTGGAGTCCTGTCTTTGCTGCTTCTTCGACTAGTTTGTCGGTTTTCGCTTGTAAGTCTTCAATTTTGTGTGACATCAAACATAAATCATCCACGCGCGAAATCCAGGTCTTCTAGGTTCTTCACGTCGGTCGGTCCAGGATATCCCTGTCTTCTCGTTTCCCACTGTCTGACGCATAATCCAGTCCACCACAATTAGGAGTATCATTGATGATAATAAGCACCCTTGTCTGACTCCTGTGTTTACTCCAAACGCCTCGCTGAGTTTTCCGTTGTTGATTACTTGACATGTGCTGTTGTCGTACAGCTGTTGAATAAGGTTGATGAATATTTAGGGTACGCTACTGTTATTAGTGCCTTTTTAAATGCTACGATGAATTACGAAATAGAACAGAACAGTGACTACTTTTTTCTCTGTTCTACAGATAATTAAATTAAGTAACAATCACATCTGTGTCCTGTTGTGATTTAAAGCTATATAAACTTTAAAGAATTGAGTTTATAATGGGTGTGGTTTTTGTCGCTTCCTTCTTTACAGTCATTTTAGTTAAGCGTTAGATGAGTGTTTTTATATTAGTAGGTAATAAGTTTGGTGTCTTTTAATCATACTTGACCTAATGAAGTAGTTCATGACAGAGATAGGTAAAATATATACCTACAGCGTTTACAGCATACCGGTAAGCTGGTCGCAAGAAGAAGTTGAACGTGTTATGTATGCTATGCTAAGTTTTCTTTTTCTTTTGGTATACTATGGTATAATGAACTTATAAGGTCATTCCAGTCATTCAATATCCGTTTTTAAAAATAAGATTGTATTACGAAATACGTATTTCAAGGAGATGTCAAAAAAAAATAATGTCATATGAATGCAAACATATTTACACATGCTTAACTAATAGTTATGTTTAGTTAAACTATGTACTTATTACATATTTGCGATAATAAACTTTGTGATTTCAGAACAAAGTTGAAACACTTGATCGACAGTATGTATGTATCTGTAACCACGCCTGTTTTGAATCACTTCTTATAACAAATCAATGTTAAAAGAAAAAGAGAGGTTTAGCATTTTAACTGATTAAAAATGCCCATTCAAAATTTGACAAAAAAAGTGGTTACTATACAGAGGAGATTATTTTCGATAACCTCTTCTTCACCAGGTTCTACAGTTATATATACATTATAGTGAATGAATGAATTAGTGTTATTAACAGCACATTATTGATATTCAAATAACATCGGATCAATAATAGCAGTGTCAGTGGATTAAAGTTGGACTGCGCCAACGTAACAATACACTACACTGAATATCAGACAGGCAAATTAGGGAAGATAGTAATACAAATTCATGAATTTATAGTCTCCATTGAAGGCCGGCCAGGACAGTAGTAGTGCATGAACTTACTTCTTTTGCACACAATGCACTAGTTGTGTAGGGCGAATCGCAATAGCCTCTGCTGTTTGGAGGGAGTATATGGTACCTGTTAGATGATAGAGAAGGATTCTTCCATGTTGTCTTTGTAGCTGGTTTAGACCCGGTGGTCTAGTATCGAAATGTTGATAGTTTTTACCACACCTTTACTTAGCCACTCTAGTGGATGTTCTCAAGTGAGTACGAAAAATCGAGTTCACAGAGCAACGGGCAATAGAACTCGCTACACAAGCATAGTTTAGTTGGCAGATACAATTAGAAGTGGCTAGTGTAGATTCTTCATCTTTAAATCGACGAAATACCATCAGTCGTGCTCGGGAACATCTACTTGTATGGTTAAGTAAAGATGTAGTAAATACCACCAACAGTTCGATAATAGTCCACCTGGTCCAAACCAGCTACAAAGACAACATTGAAGAATCCTTCTATATCATCTACCGGGTAACAAATAAATTGCCGAAGACATCCAGGTACCATATACTCCAGATAGCATAGGCTATCACGATTCGCCCTAAACAACCAGTGCTTTGTGTGCAAAAGAAGTAAGTCCATGCACCACTACTGCCTTGGCCGGCATTCAGTGGCGACTATAAATTCATGAATTTGTATTATTATCTTCCTTAGTTTTTCTGATATTCAGTGTAATGTATTGTTATTAATATATGTGTGAAACTTGGACACTGTGGTAGTAAGTAACTCCAGTCAAAAGTAGATGAGTACCCTACTCACGTCAACTCCAACTGCATTTACCAATTCACGTGCACTTGCGGAAGCAAGTACATAGGAAGGACTGAGAGGACAGCATCTACTAGATTTTCTGAGCACATTCCTAAGAGTCTCCGTACAAAAAGAGGAAAAGTGTTATCGAGTGCAATCGCCAGACATTTAATTGACACAGGACACACAGTAGAAATTAGCCAAGCCTTCAAAATAATCAATACACCAAAGAAACCCATGGCTACTTCGCTTCGCGGAAGCCATTGCTATCAAGAGATTTCGACCAGACCTCTGTATACAGAAAGATAGTGTGATTAATCTTTCACTACCTTGGTAACCCTTGGTAACTTTATTTTATTTTTGTTTTGCATTTCTGTCAGTATGCCTGTGTGTTTGTCTTGTTACGTAACATTCTATTCAATTTTGACCCTCAAGTTTCTAAATCTACTTAATTGTCTGTTTAAGTTAAAAATGTTAATAAAAATTACAATTAGGAATTAGAATGCCATAATAAACAGGGGGATGGGTAAAACTAAAACAAAGTAGCATAATAACTAAGACAATTGACATTGTGCGATTGGGGTTAGAAATGGCATTCTAATTCCTAATTGTAATTTTTATTAAAAATGTTACTTCACTATTCACCCCCACCCTCTTAAACTCTCCACTACAAGATGTATAAATTCACTCTGTTCTCTGACCCTGACCTTGTAATATGCCTCTAACCAATCTGTGTTTTCCAATAGAAATCTGAACTCTTACCCCTCTTATCTAATTCCACTATATATAATTAGTTGTTTTTTGACACCGAATAATCTGTCTACCTACATCAAATTCTGGAATTATGTTCCTTATGCCTTCTATCTATAACTCAAAGTAGTTATGAAAAAGTATGTTCCACAACGTTTTTGAAACTTATAATTTGATTTGTTTAGGATGTATGCAGTTGATGAGTATCCACGAAATGAAACGAGCTCGTATTATCCTGCAAACATGTTCGTTCTTTCTCTCTTCAAACTAATAAAGGGAACCGGTTGCATGTAATTCCATATTAGTTTGTTTATTAGACATATCACACAGTGAAGAAACAGTGTTATTTACTGGATGACGTTTCGAACAAAATTTATTGTTTATAATCATACCAATCATAAACACAACCTTCGATATTGACTACGAAAGCTAAGTAGTCAATTTCGACTTTATTCAAACAAGCAAACTCATGTTTGTGTGATAAGAGGCAACCAGCATGAAAGATTTATTCTGAAATGCTTTATTTCACATATCTAATAGAAAAAAGATACCCTGATCAATCAAGAACCCATTGTTCAGCAAATACACCGAAGAAAATGGAGATGGATCGGACGCACGTTAGGGAGATCGTTGGATGACACTGCGCCCCAGACTCTCAAATATAAAACCCGAATGGGGAAGGACGAGTTGTGAATGGGATCAAGGGTGACATACAGGAGGTCGCGTGAGGAGAGGATGAGGGCGTCTATGGGCAGTCACGGGGCCAGCTAAATAAGGAATGCAGAGAACAGGACAAAATGGAGATTTGCTGTTAGAGCCCCAATTTCCATTCGGAATGCTAAGGAATAATAATTTCACTTTTTCAGATGTGATAGTCGACAGAACAAACTAATTCACATTATTCATAACGGTATGCTCAGATGTCTGTCAGTCGATCCGAGGGGGACACAGGGTTTCAAACTACAGTTTTGAAGTTGCGGTAGCAGTGGTGTTTATTTTTTAAGGGATGAGGTTGCCAGTCTCATTCCCAGTCTTCCATCTTTATCAGCCTTACTACCGGCTTAGCGACGTAGTCAGGGTGCGTCGGCCGAGGATCCATCCCTGGACCACGTGTTTAGTTGATGGGCGTTTTTCATTAGCTTAGAATAAGTTAGCCTAGAATAAGTTATTTCAGACGTTAAACAGCGAATGTTTATCAAGCAACTGTTCATATCACATACTACTGACACGAATTTATCAGTAGTCTCTTGTGTTTATGATATCTTCTACAAGTATTTTGAATAACTGAAGCAAGTGAATGAGTTGCGAAGAGAGGAAATGAAAGATTCTTGTGAAACAGTATAGAGAGCATGCAATGGAGACAAGAAAGAAGACTGCAAGGAGTTTTCGGAAGTGGAAATTTCAGTCTAAAGTTTCTGTAATTCACCATCAGCCTTAATCATTATTGTGTCCTACCGCAACAGATTCACTGGGAGCAAGTGAATCATACGAGGCATACCAGTAAAAGCTTTATACTGCTGTCTGATTATTCACTTTTGGTAAACAGTGTATGTTCTAGTTTTGTAAAGATAAACTAAATGTCTCTTTTTACAATCCCGTTTCTTTTATTACTTGATTTCAGTGATGCGTGTCTACATCTACAAAGAGTCAATAGAACCAAATGGTCAGCGGTATTATCTGGCTTATATATATGAAGTATACAAGGTAAGATTTAGAGAGAATGTTTCTTATGAAAATTTTTTTTTATACTTTAATTACTACTTGTAATTCGTTGGCAGTTAAAATTAAAATTAATTCGATTATAAATTACATTTATTCATCAAGAAATAGTTCAGCCGGTTTTCGTTCGTATCAAGGAAAAGTTATTATTGGATGCATTTTGCAATACTCTGTAATATTCGGACTTTTCAGTCAAGAATGACTGCATCCACTTGGGAAAACTGGAAATTTTCAGTGTTCTCTGCAGATACGAACCTGAGCATTCTATGTATCTGCCCTGAATGCCCAATTTGGTGGACCCTAGAGGTCCAGTGCTCACGAGCCAATCATTACAAAATGATGTTTTCTGAGATTCTATTGAGAAGTTATGACCAGTGAGGTCCACTAATTTGTGTGGATGAACAGATGCTGCCCACCGATAACATATGGTGGCGGTCATGCTGCTTCTGGAATTGACAGGAAATTGAACCGATGATCATTGGATTTGGTCCCACTGACTAAATAGTTTAGGAGTTCACTATGCAAACTGAAAATATTCAAGGGTTGGTTTGTAGGATTTGATTGGTTACAGGATTTCATCATCAGCTGACATTGGTTAGAGAACCGTTGAAAAACCTTTAGGGATTGCTGGACAGCTATTTCGTCATAGTTTTAGACTCTTCATCAGTACGCACTCACCGGGGTTCGAACCCAGGACCATTAAGCCACTGGAACCCGATCCAATGGCTAGCCCGTGAATTATTATTTCTGCCAATTCACGACATAGCGTGACCACTAGCCAATGTCTTTGGCGAGTATTTATCCTCACACCCGACCTGCTGCATCCTACTGATTACGACTTCCCACTAGAACCCCAGGTTACTACCCACCTGAATAGAGCAAGTCGCTAGTGAGCATCTCATCGATATTCAAATGTTGGTTTGTAGGGATTTGATTGGTTACAGGATTTCATCATGAGCTGACGTGAATTGGCAGAAGTTAGAACTCATAGACTGGCCACTGGATTGTGTTCTAATTGCTTAATGGTCAACGAGCTCACTGGCCTTGTAACCGGAAGGTCCTGGGTTCGAACACCGGTGGTTGCCTACTGCTGAAGAGTCCCAAACTAGGACGGGGGAAGTAGCTGTCTTGTACTCTCTGCAGGTTTTCCAATGGTTCTTTAACCAATGTCACCTCATGATGAAATCCTTTAACCAAACTGAAAATGTTGTGCTGAACCCCTGGTAGTGTGGTCAAAGGTGCATACTAATGAATAGTCGCAAACTGGGATGACTGTTCAGCTCTTCAGTACTCCATCGTTTTCAATGAATTTCTGCCTGATATCAACTCGTGACCAAAAGTGAAATCAAACAAATTCTTGCCAGCCAACACTTGAACATCCTTATCCTTATCACACAAACCTTTGAGAAAAGGAAACCTCAGAAGTTTCCTTGACGATTGTTCCCACTAAAACGCACATTTCTAGGCATGGTTACATAACCGATAGTTACGGTGCTGTAACTTGTCAGTAAAATTACACAATTCAACACAATATATAAAAGCATTTTAACTATTATTAGACTAATTTGAATAGGTTCCATGTACCCGGTTTTTTGAATGCAGATATGGAATACCTTCCGCTTTGATATGGATATAGAAATAAATAGTATGTTTATACTTAACGTGTCATCAAGTTATCAGTGTTGTAGGTCAAATACTCTTTGAAAACAGTCCTGAGTACAAATTACGATCCAGAGATGTAACTGGTTAATTAAAACAATACGAAATAGAATACATAAGATACACACTGATGGATGGTAAGTTGAGAAGCTCAGTAATGTAAGCAGGCCACCAAGTTAGTTTCAAAATTATCGAATAAAAAGACTATAAAATATTAGATTAAATTGGATCTTTTCAAATCGTGGAAAATACCCATCGGGATATTAGATTGAGAAGAACAAGAAGTTCAGCAAAGATATCTCTTCGGCGATTTCATTCTCAAGAGCTGTACAATCGCATTTATATAGATAAGATTACATGGATACAACTATTATTTGTTTAATTCCACATAGTAACGAAGGTGATAATAATTTTCAACTTGATATGAAAGTTTGAAGGTACGAATATAGATTACAAGGGGCTTAGAGACAAGATTGCATAGGATTAGATAACAGTTACAACGTATGCAAAATTAATATTTGATAACTGGAGAAATAGTTTTCAAGGCGAATAAGAGGTGATAATTGTTTTCAACTTGATATGAATTACAAGAGGCTTAGAACGAATTACAGGTGTGAACAAAATGAACATGGAAACAAATTAAAATCGAAATTTTTAACTTGAAATGTAAGTTAGGAAGGAGGTGTGAATATGGGTTACAAGAGGCATAGAAACAAAAAATTATACAGGATTAGAATATAGTCGTAAAATAGTTATTCTAAACGGATTTCAAGTGTGATCAGGAGGGGCATGGAAACAAAGATATAAGAATAAAACTTGGGCACTGTGGTGGAAGCATGGAAACAAAATTAAAATAACTGAATATAAAATTGGATGATTTGAATGACGACAAAGAGAGAGAATATACACACAAAGAACAAAACAAAAAAACAAAAAAAAACTGAAGGATAAGGGAACATACTGAACTAGGTCCATGGTAGTTGTAAAGGCTGGACTAGTTTCTTTTGAACACATAGCCTCGGCTTTTCGATGCATATGGCGAGAGCTTCCGCAGTACAAAGAAGTCGGAAGCACACTGTCTTTAGTAGATTTTGTTTACTTTGTAAACAGCGATTGTACAGCTCTTGAGAGTGAAATCGCCGAAAAGATATCTTTGCTGAACTTCTTGTTCTTCTCAATCTAAATTGAAGCTGACACACGCTTATGGATGGAAGTGACGACTGGCGCTCACAACAACCTGCGCTACTAGACCTAGCTGATAATGATGTGTTAATATCACTTCAGATAAGCATTACACATTTCACATTTTACAGTCTAATCGTTGAAAATCTTAATGTCAATAAAACAAATATTAGGTAACAAGCAGACTCCGAATTCTGAAAGTACACCTCGTTGTCAAATGGTGTAGTTTTTGTTGCACCGCTATTGCAGCCAGACTTTTCAAGCATATATGCCTGAAATGTAAAACAACTGAGGTCGATGGCTCGATAGAAAGCCTGTTAGGCGAAAATAAGATAGAGAAGAATAAGAAGTTCAGCAAAGATATCTTTTCGGCGATTTCATTTTCATAAGCTGTACGATCGCATTTAAATACATAACTTTACATGGAGACAATTCTGGTTTGATTCTACATAATTATGACGGCAAATAAAAGGTGATAATTATTTCCAACTAGATATGGTTTTTTTTACGAGAGGCTTAGAAACAAAATTACGCAGGATTAGAACGGATATCAAGTGTGTGAAAATGAGCATGCATACAAAATTGAAATAATGATTTTCAACTTGAGATGGGAGTTAGGAGGTGCGAATATAGATTACAAGAGCCTTAGAAATTATACAGGATTACAACGGATTACAGGTGTATAGAAGATGAGCATGGAAACAAAAATTGATATGATAGTTTTAACTTAAAATGGAAGTTAGGAGGTGTGAATATAGATTACAAGAGCGTTAGAAACACAAAAAATTGCACAGGATTAAGATATAATTGTAAATTTTTAAAACGGATTATAAATAAGAACAGGGAAGGAATGGAAACAAACTTAAATTAACTGTTTTTATAACTGGAAAAAAATGGGGTGAATCGAATGAAAACTGAGGCAGTAAGAATCACACACATAGCGAACAAAAAGGGATAAAAAAGAAAAAACAGAAGCTACGGTAACATACCGAACTAAGTCCATGGTAGTTGTAGAGGTTGGACTAATTTCTTTTGGACACACAGCTCCGGCTTCTCGATGCATATTGCGAGGGCTTCTGCAGTACAGAGAAGTCGGAAACAAACTGCTTTCGGCAGATTTCCGTTGACTTTGTAAATTACTTTGAATGAATCAGTTGAGATGTTGTGGGAGGTATTGATCAGATGCTCAGTAATTGTACTTCTGATTGAACCAGTGCCTCCTCTTTGCAGCCACGCTGGGTAGTGTTCTCTAACACGTTTTGAAAGGACGCGCATACAACGACCTATGTACCTTGCTCCACACGAGCAGGTGAACTGGTAAATGCACACTGAATTGGTCATATGCGACAGTTTGTCCTTCCCATTGCTCCGAAGAAGTGGGCGGCTAGAGAATGTCACTCATAGAGTTGCTGCCGGAAAAGTCTTCTTCGGGGATTTGGAGATTCTCCTTTTAAAGATATCTGCTGCTAGGTCTCCCCTGAATTCCAGATATATATACAGACTTAAACCTCTGTTCCGAACTAATAGCGATAATATGTCATCACGTTCATGAGATATTAAACGTTGCGTAATAGCAGTTTACACCTTCATATTCAGTTTATTTTGAGACGTTCGTTAATTTAACGCTACTAGTTCTATACATATATCCGTTTACTTTTCATTATAGGATATCAAGCAGTTTATGCAACCAACACACTTTCGTCAGATTATTTACAACTGCGATCGATTTCAAACCGGTCCAGTGCTAGGTGAAATATATTTGATAACAGGTGAGTTATATGCTAAGACACATATATGTACATAAATTCTCATGCATCGTTAGTATCTACTTACTTCAGTCGCAGTAATGTCATGTAGTAAATAATTAAAATCCCCTGTGTATATTTCGTTTTGTCAGATGATTAGGGGTAGTTGGCGGGAAACCCTAGACTTAAGTTTCGTGATTGTTTGCACTTGTCATCGACGCTTACCTGCCGACTTGATGGAACTCGTTTCCCCTCTGAGATTTGAATGCACATCACCCATTGCAGCAGCCAGAGACGTTACCACTAGGCTCAACAGGAAGTCTTCATTTCATCTCGTTCTTAAGCTGTCTGAAGCTGGCTACACACTCACCTACGAACTCTAAAGGTGTATTTCGCTATACTGTAATCGAAATTGTAAATAAATCACAGCAGTCCTTTAATTCTTCCCACTGATGTAATTGACTAGAAATGAATGATTTACCTGCATATATATATTTTTATTCTAAATGCAGTGGCGATCATTTCATATACTTTGAGTACTTTGAGCAGCTGAGCATTTTCATACACAAACGCAATCTGATAAAGTGCCTGGTTCACAGAGCAAGAGAAATCTGCTCGGATGAATGTCTTGATGAGGAACTTAATAATATTAAGTGGTTGCTGAGAGAAAATGGTTATCCGGAAAAGTTTATTGTTAAGAATATGAATCTAAAATCAAGGCAGCCCGAGGTATCAGCAGTTCCTAAAAAGGCTTTTTTCTTACAACATCAGCGAGATACTAACACAACGCCTTAGAAATGAGGTAAAAAGAGCATTCCCTGCTGCCGAATTACTCTTTGTCTTCAAAACTACTCCTCTTTTGCATTCGGGAGTAAAAGACAAAGTGACTAATTTCGCCTCTTCCATGTGTACCTACCAGTTTAACTGCTCCTGTGGAGCCAGTTGCATAGGCCATACAACTAGGCGTGTTTCTCGTCAAATTTCCGAACATCATCCTGTGTGGTTAAGCAAACGACAAACAAAATCTATTCGGAGAGCTGTTCTATCTCATCTTGTGGCTACAGAGCACAAGATTGATGTTAACCATACTTTCAGGGTCATTTACCGCATACTAACAAATCTCAATTTAGCCTTAATAGTTCGACTACTAAATACTGTTGAGGCTGCTGGAATCCACACTAAGCAGTCAAATTTGTGCGTCCAAAAGAAGTTAGTTCAGACTTTATCCCTAACTTGACTATCTAGGTTTGAATGATACTCAATTTTTGTGGAAATTTTCCTAATTTAAGTTGATATTCTAGTTGCTGTTACATCCTTATTATTATGATCTTACTTCACAAATCGATATTATTTGAAAAAACACCAATATTGTTATTGACTACTAATCTAGAATATCCTATGTATATAAACATATATATCATTGTAGAGCCAGAAAAGGAATTTATCGAAAAGGATATTCTTTGCTCAATTATTTTGTGTTTTATAGATGTCTGAGTGAATATTTTCACCATATTTAATGTAAGTGAAGAATCTGGGCACTTTAGTGGAAGATGATTCCATAATAGATCACATTATTTGATATAACATATGACAATATACAGTACAGCTGGAAGGATTGAGCCTGGCAAGTTAATTATTTTTGACAAAAGCTCTGCCACTGTAGTGCATTCACTCACTTGTGATCTCAAATTATGGTGGATGGGATAGGATGAAAGAATTTAAAAAAGTTAGATGGAGAGAGAGGTTAGTCATCTAATCTTTGTTCATTGAATCAACCTTAAACACATGAAATGATGCAACACCCATCACGAAATTTCATGAAATTGTGGCACAGCGGTTAGGACTCTCGCCGACCATGAACATGGCCTGGGGTTCGATCCCCGGCCGATGCACATCTGATATCAATGGACGGCCTACAAAATTTGGGCTAGCGATATCATATGCTGAAAATTCCATACGTGTACCAAACATACGGTATGGAATCAAGCTATAATCAAAAAATCAAAAACAAAATTGTGATAAGTAACAAAGGGGAGTGAAATATGTGAGGCAAATTATTATGCCCAACAAATTGTGCACGAAATACCATCCAGTCGACCAGTTAGTGACTCATTGTATGTCGTATCAAATGAACTTATCTGATATAGAAATTTTGGTTTAACTGGGGCTTTAATTGTTTATAATTTTTAAAAATTTGGGTAAGGAATTCATATCCGCTTGAGAACTATTCATTGTATTCACAAATGAAGTAGTGAGATTTGTTTTATTTTCAAAATGAAATTGTTTGAAATATTTTTATGGATTAAAAATACTCATTAACATCCTTTCAAATGAGTGGTTAGTGAACAATGAATATTCTTTTCGATAACCTGCTCTTCATCAGGTTCTATTGTTATATGTACATAATAGTGAATGAATCGGTATTACTCATAACATTAATGTTGTTTAAATAGCATCGAATCAACAATAATAATATCAATGGATTACATTTCAGTAGCATAAACATAGCGATACACTGAATTTCAGACAGGCAAATCAGGAAAATTAATAATACAAATTCATGGATTTATAGTCTCCACTGAAGGCCAGGGCAGTAGTAGTGACTGGACTTGTTTCTTCTGAACACATAGCACTGTTTTTTTCAGGCGAATTGCAATAGCATCTGCTGTTTTTGAGTATGTCGTACCTGGATGTTTTTGGCATTTTACTTGGTACCGTGTAGATGATGGAGAAAGATTCCTCAATACTGGCTTTGTGGCCGGTTTGGACCGGGTGGTCTAATATCGAACTGTTGATGGCATTCACTACACCTTTACTTAGACACTCTGATAGATGTTCCCAAGTGGGCACGAAAAATCCAGTTCCTAAAGCAACGGTCAACAAAGCTCTCTCCAAAAGCTAATTTGAATTGGTAGATACGATTAGAGGTGGTCCGTGAAGGTACTTCATCTTTCATTTAAGGAGTCATTATCAGTCGTGTAGAAAATAAGACTTGTATTTTGCCAGCATTAAAAGTTTTTTGAACTGATTTGCTTAACTTCTTCATAATTATTTAGCTAGGTATACTGCCCTTGAATTGCAGTCGTATGTATAAAGGCTTCTTATTTGCAGATAAAGAATGGTTTTTTTCCACTTTCTTGATCATGTGTTTCTTGATGAACTTTTCTGGATAGCTATTTTCGATAAGGATGCCATATACAATCCTTAGTTCATCTTCAATTACCTCTTCTGAGCATATAGCCCTAACCATGTGGCTGAGGGTCCTCACTAAACTTCTTTTGTACTGAAGAGGAACGAAGCTGTGAAGGTGTGTACATTGTCCTGTCTACGTGCTTTTTCTATGCAAATTTCTCTTTATACTACCATGTGGTATTCTGGTAAGGAGGACATCTACGCAGGCAATTCTGTTTTTGGATTCCTCTTCGCACGTGAATTTCATAGCCGAGTGTACTTCATTGAACACAATATGATACACTATTCACAAGCTTGATCACCGAGTTAGAAGGCACTAATGACCTTAAACGCACACAGTTCATTGGGTGACAGAACCTGCCATGTATCCTACATCAAAAAGTCGCTTATTTAAAAGAGAAGTTAACACAATATTTGTGAAACACATTAAAAGCGACATTTTACTCTGACGTTAAAGAAAAATTATATACAATTACAATAGAGGGGATCAGCTTTCAAGTTTCATAGCTGTCAAAACGGTTTCATCTTATATGAACAAGGAAATACTCCCATTCCATATATTTATATAAAAGGAAATACAGGACATAATTATAAAACATCCCAACCCTTACCTTACCACTAATTCTAACCACACCGCCAAACCTAACGTGTTATCAACTTAAAAACGAGATAAGGATGAAATTCACACCTCAGTTTGTGCACAGCGTTCAAACTCGAACTGTAATAAGGACAGGTTATGTAATCCAATGAATGATATCCATTCAATGTCATATATTTAATGCTTCACAGTAATGGATTTGATAAGCAAATTTGCTAAAGAAAATACCCTGTCAAACATAACTTCAAAAAGTGTATAAACTTATATTTTTCAATCCTCTGTGTCCCAAGTGAAACACACAGCTTCAAGCGTCTTAAAGTCGGAAATTAAACACCTAGGCGTCATTCTATCTACTGATCTTTCCTAGTCGTCTCATATCTTAGCGATTTCTAAGAAAATATTCCGTCCTACCTTCTACATCAAGAAGTTAAGACATTCTGGTATAACCCAACCCTTACTCCTATACTTTGTTAACTCTCGCATTCTGCCTATTATTCTCTATTGTTCCGCCTCAGTTTTTCCAGGGCTACTAAAGAAAGACTATAAAATATTACGCAGGATGTTAAAGGTTGTCAGCAGGGTAAGCAACATGCCACTTAACCAGCTTGTTAATATTCTGGTCGACAGGCAGGCACATGAACTCGTATGAAAAATGGGCAAAATTCACTTTATCTAACTCACAACACCCTCTTCACTCACAACTCTCCACTTGCATCTCATCAGGCAAAACCAGAAGCCTATATAGAAAACTGTATGCTCGCACCGACAAATACAAAAACTCAACCATACCCTACTTAGCTAGTGTTCTATATGATAAAGAAAGCATTAGGCGTGACACCTATAATTCATTAAATAGTCAGTAGAACAACTGAATCTCGTCTTTCCCAACTCACATCATCAATAGGTACAACATTTTCTTTCTCTCTTTTTTTTCTTTTTTCCGTTATGTGCTGGTTTGTTTCTTTCTTCCACATACGCCAGTAAATATGATAGCACCTACTTTTCTAACACCTTCAAACACTGTTCAACTTTGGCTTTGCTACCGACATGCCAATATGTTGTTGTCATAATGAACTGAGATTTCCTTAATCTATGTAGAATTCTATTTATTGATAATGTACTAACTGGATGCAATACTGTAGTAAAAATGCTGAGAATTCCATTATGTATCACAAGTGCTGTTTTGGAATAAAGTAAATTATAATTATAATTAATTACTATTCCAATTGTGGTG